TTTTACATGAAAAAAATTGATCAAAATAACCTCAAAACTTTTTGGAGGTATTTTGATCAATTTGGTTTTTACTGATAATTGTTTTTATATTTTTATTAGATGTGCCTCAATAAGATATACATACCTTCCAAATTTCAGGTCATTCCAATTTATAGAAAAAAAAATACAAAATAAAACACTACCTGACAATCGTGACCGCGCGATGAAATTTGGATGGTGATGAGCGTAGGCAAAATCACTATTCATTTTTGCCTATAGGCATTAGGAAGACTTTTCTATATATATATATATATAAAGCTGATGTTCTAAACAATCAAAGTAAAGCGCACCTTCAAATAGTATCAAGAAATGTCATTTCAATATTGGAAATCTTTGTGATAAGCTTAAAATATATTTTCATTTTTAATTATAAATTTAAAGTTTAAAAAATAGTGTAGATCGAGCATATCTATGAAAACTTAAAACTATTGAAATTTACGGTCCAAAAGTGTATTACAAGATGCACTATTTCCAAAACTGGAAATCTATTTTTTCTCATGTCCATACATCTTGAAATCAAGATGATCAATTTGAGGATATTTGGGCATCAAGACAACTTTTTTTAGTGAATTTTTGAGGTGTCCCCTAACTTGATTGTCTAGAGCTTCACACTTATATAAACTTTTGTCATATTTGTATATAATGGCTTCATTTAAATTCATGTTTTTTGGAGCAAAATTTATGAAGCATGAAGCTGGCACATCCCTATAATCAAGAATTGAGATATGCTGATTGGTTTTCTCTTATTTTTTGCATTTGAATATACTCAAAATGGTGAAAGTCATTAAGCACCACCCCAAAGAGGAGTTGTAGAAATGCCTTAGGTCTTTTGGCCTTTTGCCCTGAGGTATCACTCCCAGTTTGCAAGTGGTAAGGTTTGTGAGGTTCTCCCTCATGAAAACGATCTTTTCCAACCTAAAAGAGAGTGATTGAATAGAAATAATAAAGCCAACAGGTGGCGTGCTGCTGTCGTTCATTCACTCCCTTGTAAAACACAACGTATACTTTTTAGGACCATTTTGGTGATGTAACACCTTGGGACCATATATATAATGGGGAGCTATTTCATTCATTCTACAGTAAAGTAATGAAAACATTATTCAAAATCATATTAGACTCATTTGTTTGATGCCAATGTTTAGATATACTCTTTTCAATTGCAAAAAAGCAAAACTAGAAAGTTCATCTATAAAATGTTTTTGAGCCTAATTAATATACGCAGTCTATTTTGGTGAGGCACTTAGATCTAAGCTTCTAATGGATTTTTTTTTTCCCTTTTTAAGTTTTTTTTTTTTGTTTCATTATTAGATGAACAATGTTAAAACAAGAAAAAATAGTTTTGAGTTTGTGAAGGCTTAGATCTTGAATTCATCAAATGGGTAGTCTATATTCATTGTTGGAAGGGGATTGATTTTGAGTTTATCTAAGTTGCAAATTGATTTTTTTTTTTATTGGATCGAGTATGGGACGAAGAAAAATGTGTGTGCAATTTTTGGGGTTATACAAATGCTTACGGGTGGCAATGGGTTGAGTGTGGGTCTAGTTGGGCCCGTACTCGAAAAAAAATTATGGGACCTGAACCCGGACCTGACTGGACCCGAAGTTATCAGATCTGGATCTGAACCCAGCCCAATTTGACCTGATTGGAATTGGACCCGACTCAAAAAAAAAAAAAAAAAAAATTAACTATATTTAAATGTTATGTACTATAACTAAAAATATGTAGTTATATTTATTTAAATATTATTTAAATATTATATATTAAATATTATTTATGTAAAAATACTATTTGGGTTGGTTCTACATGGAACTGGACTTGAATAGTGTTCGGGTCCAATATTTGGATCTGGACCCAACCCACCGGGTCCAATTCTTGGACCCATACCTGGACCCAAGTCGGCTCCGGGTATATTGCCACCCCTACAAATGCTACAAATATGATTTATTAGAAGTATGATTTTATTATATTACAATGATACGGTAACATGGAACCCCACCCCCTCCCTCAACACACCCTAACCAATGTGCACTTTGCTTGAAAATTAATGTACTCTGATGGGATAGAGACAGTCCAATTTATAGAATGTCACAATGTTTAAGAACTCTTTGACTTCTTTTGTTTTCGGCAAAAAATACTCAATCTTTTGACTCTAAACTCTAAAGTGCACCACGAAATTTCCGTACTTTGCCTAAGAAATAATGCCCTCATATCGGACCAGGATTTGAAACAACGATGATCCGGAATCGGGAAATAGAGGGGGGCACGCTTAGTTCTGCCAAAATAGAGGGAACAACCAATTCCCTCGAGGAACCAGAACTAGCCGGTTCTGTCAGAGAACTGGCCAGAATTGACTACACTTTTGTTTTTTAATCTTTTCAAATCTTTTGTTCTTCAAGTTCTTGTTTTTTGGGTGGTTCACTTGATTAGATCGCCAATTCGGATTTGCTTATTTGCCACACTGGATAAGTTTTTTGGATAGACGATTTGGGTCTCCGACTTGGATTAGACAGAAATTGTCTAATTTTTGGATTATCGAATTTGAGAACTCAATTTCTTTTGTTTTTAAGTATTCATGTGATGATTCTAAAGTGCATCTAGAAATTCCAAGTCCAAAGATCCTTAGAAATGACACTTTGACATGGGGAGAGAGATGTACAAAGGAGTACTAACTTATGTGAGGGGGGGCAATTAATGGAGAGAGAAATGAGTTTTTAATGCTAGTAGGTATATATATAGCATTAAGCTTATATTTATTTGTTTTGGTTATGGACGAGTTAACTAGGCATCTATGATGAGAAACTATGATGTATCTTACTCGTAGATGATATAGTTTTGATTGATGAACTAGAGGTACAGTGAACGTAAAATTAGATGTTTGGAAGGATTCTCTAAAATCTAAAGGCTTTAAAATTAGCTAGACTAATACAGAATATATGGAATGAAAGTTTAGCAATAATATGAGTAGAAACAAGGAAGTATTTAAGATTGATGATCAGGAAATGCCTAAAAGAGATTATTTTCGACATGGGGCCGATAATATAAGAGAATGGAGAGATTGAGGGGGATATCATGTATATCATGAGAGTTATGTAGGGAAATGGTGAAATACCTCGCGAGTTTAATGTGATCATCGCATATTAATGAAATTGAAGGGGAAGCTCAATCCGATGATTGTAAGACCAACCGTGTTTTATGGGATGGAATGTTGGATGGTCAAGAGACAATATATCCATAAAATGTGTAACTGAGATGATGATGTTGCGATAGATGAGTAGAAACATAAGAAATGATAGAAATACAAGATAAATATATCTGACGGAATGTAAGAGTGGCTCCAATAATTGGTAAGATGAGGGAAAATAAACTTAGTTGGGCTGGCCATTTGCAGATAGACCTAATTCAACTTCTGTTATGAGGGGCGATTTGGTTCAAGTTGAAGGCTTTAAAAGTGCAAGGGAAAGGCTAAAAAAGAAGTAGTGAGAAGAGATATGGTGATTTATGGTCGAATTGATGATATGACCCATTGATACAATAGAATGACGGAACATGAATTGTATAGCTAACCCCAAATAGTTGAAATAAGGCTTTGATGATAATAATGACGAGGGAAAGTAAATGCACAGTGTATGTATG